CGTCAATTATCTAGTTAAAGATTCTAAACCGTCATTTTATGAGAAAATACTAGACGATAAAAAAAGACTAAAATATTTTCTTTACATAAATTTAAAATACATTATTTTCGTAAAACAAAATATATAATTAACTGCAGAAATGGAGACTAATCAAACTGTCTGTTGTAATACGGTTGAACAACAGTTTTTGAAGTTTTTCACTTTTTTGTGGAGATTGAACTAGATTAATCCGTCAGATTTGCGATGTGTAACGCTCGGGTAAAGACGGCTGGAGTCGACTTTAAAAGATTGAAGTGTTTTGCATACGGATTACAATATCTCAAAAACTAAAAATAGGGATTTTTTTCATCATATTATCCTCTTTGTTACCAACCTATTATTCAAAATTTTATCTTATCGTGTTAGAGAGGCGAAAAAGGAAAAAATAGTGTCGAAAACCAAATGATTACGAGTTTTATTGAAGATATGGATTAAAATATCTCAGAAACTAAAAGTCGGGCCTGAATAGTGTAAGTGAAGCAATTGTTCAGCATTTCGTCTTCTTTGTAATGGGCTATTATTCAAAATTGTGTCTTAACGCGACGCCGTGTAAGGAGGTGAAAAGGGAAAACATAGTGTCGAAAACCAAATTATCACGAGTTTTATTGAAGACTAGCTTTACCCGACCACGCGCTGCTGTGGCTTAGCCTCGCAAAATGAAAAATAAAGAAAATAGAAAGCACATATGAGTAGATTAGTAGCAAAGGGCATCTGTCATTTTTAAAAAGTTGGGAAACAAATCTGTCTGTAAAATGGCTTCAATTGAAACTAATTCTAATTGTTTTTTTTTCTCATGATTCAATTTGAACATTCACAATCATCTGAGTAAATACGCCGTCATTCATAATCATCAGAACCAGTCTGAGTTGAACTAAAATTAATTTAAAAAACGAATAATACTATTGACCTACATAAGGAGAATCATATAAATTCTTCAAATGATAATTTCAATTACTGTAGTAATTATAAAATTTTCGATTAATCAATAAAAAAAAAAATAAAAAAATGCTTGCCGACCTTCGGTAGTGAGAAAGCAAAAGGAAACGGCCTTTTCTGAACAGAAATCAGTAAATGTTTAAAACTCAATAACTCTGCAACGAACCGTCCGATTTCGATGACATATTTTTTATTTTGTCGGCAAATCAGGAATCTTTCAAATAAATGTGGGTATTATCAGTCAAAAATTGTGTACTTTTTTAGTTATCGTCAAATAAAATATTGAATTCATCGTAACATTTTTCAGCTTTTTTTCGGGAAAGTATGTTATACACATAAATTAAAAGGGTTTCAAGGGGAAGACTTTAGCCAAGTTTCGTTAAAATCGGTAAAGCCGTTTCGGCACTACAGTTTATAGCGACACATTTTTTGCGGCTTTAAACAGAAAAACATTTACATTTTTATTATTTTTACATATATAAAATTATCGGAAGACAGAAGTACTATGCCAGAAACCTTCCCAGGAGTGTACGGAACAACCTCCCAAAGTTTCATGGCGATCGGTTGAATGGTGTGTTATTAAATCAAAATTGTGTCTTATAACCTTTTAGAAAATTAAATTAGTGAATAATTTGATGAATTTTTCCTTTGTGATATCTCAACATTATCCAATTACAATTAGTGTGACTCCTTTTGACCTATCTACAAAATATATTGTTGTACAAGATTTAATTAATATGTAGAAGTTATTAATAATAATAACATCTAAAAAACCGAAGTAATACTTACAATACATTATAACTTAATATATTTATTGAGAGATATTACAATCTGTCCCAATTGTAACATCGGGCTTCAGCCCGATCCCGTATTCGGTAAAATATAACCATGTTTTAAAAAAAAAAATATATCTCTTATTACATTCGTAATTACATTTAATAGGACTTCAAGAACCACTTAAACACCATTTCATATAGGTAGTTCATTGCTTTCTTCTTCTTTTTTTCAACTTAATTATCGTTATACATATGAAAAAAAATCTTTCGGGCTGAAGCCCCTTCCCCCCCAAAATTAAATCCTGGATCCTAAATCCTAAATGTTAATTTATGTAATGTTTTCTTTATTCATTTAACTTACTTCCTTTTTCTTTTATAATATATTGTTGTGAATGGAGTGTGATGTGCTCTTTGAACACTATTATAAATGTCCTTAATTGGGACAGATTGTAATATCTCTCAATAAATATATTAAGTTATAATGTATTGTAAGTATTACTTCGGGTTTTTAGATGTTATTATTATTAATAACTTCTACATATTAATTAATTTTGTGTCGTTTAAACGACAACAACAAAAATCGGGTTAGTATGAAAGCTCCCTATTACTCTCTGTCCCGAATGCAGTATACACGGCATCGTTTACCCGGCTGCCTGGTAGGTGTAAAATAAGCCTAAGTATTGCGATCTTGAAAATTTTTGAATCTTAGTTTTCAACGGAAATACTCGTTTTGAGGTACCCTGAGTCCATATAACCAAGTCCCGAAAAATGATCTGTGTGTATGTGGACACTCTAGCTCGAAAATGAAAAGTCGTACGAAACTGATATTATGCATTTAAGATAGGTATATGTCTTAGATGTCCTAGCAACGTTTTCCTTAAAATCGGCTTACCGAAAGTGCCACTTTATATTAACGCTGACACATATTTTTACAATTTGCTCAAAAACGGCTGTAACGATTTTGATTAAACTCGGTGTATCATTGTATAATTCAGTGGTATTTAATATTATTTAGGTCTTATTCCCGTCGATGTCACTTTACAGGGCTTAAATGCCCAATGTTCATATGCGTCTTCCTCTAAAGTACCTTTAATATGGTTCATTTCAAATAATTAACTACCTATCATTATTAAAAGTTACGAAAAAATGCTAAATATAACTTTTGAAAGAATTTGATAATTGAATAAAGGAGAAAAAAAATAAAAATGCTTATCTAGGCCAAAAATGAATCTCCGGAAGCACCAGTCAGAAGGTGTACTTATAATATATCGTTGGAAAGCGGAGAATTTAAAAAAAAAACAAAAACAATATCTAATATAGGAAGTTGTAGAAGGCACAGGAGAGTGGCGAAAACATTATAAATAATTATGTCAGAAAACTAACATTATTTAACGTAAATCACATAAATAGGACTTTTGTTATTTTAATACTATATGATTTGTTAGCTGCAATCTTTTAGTTTTAGTTCAGTTAAAAATGCAATTCAAAAATTTTATAATAGCCCAACATGGCCAGAAAATAATTTTTATTCAAAGTTCAGCGGTGACCTACGTTAAATTAGATGGTACTCAGTTAACGCAAAATTTGATGCTTTACATCTTTGAATCTATGGGTTTTTCCTCTTGGGGAACTCATTTCCAAGTTACAGAGCCATTTATAGTAAATTGTCTCAGTCTTTGACAAATTTGGTAAAAATCAGCGTTGGTTGACCGTGGTTTTATACCTTTCCGCGTAACCAAATTATAAAGTGTATGTACTCGTTTGGCGCAAAATTTAACGTTCTTTAATTTGACAAAGGGTATATTTTTCGCTTTGATGCATCGGTTAGGAGTCATAGGTGAAAAAAACAAAAAATATCGAAAAAATCTGTCTTTTTTGGCTGTAAAAAGTTTTCCCTTGGTGGCCCGCGTTAGCGTTGTTTTTTACTTGCCTGAACCCATATATACAAGTTGAAAAAATAAAAATTGTTCTCACATTTTTCGCAATGGATTTCCAGTTTCGATCCTCAAATTGTTGGGCTAATGTTCTTTAAATCAGCCGCCATTTTTGAAAGCAGCTGCTCTGGAATGGCAGACAAGGTTTTTTTTACTAAGAACAACATACACTTTCGTAATTTACAATAAAACCTTCGCCTGCGATCAGGTCGATTTTTGGGCTCAGTCACCAGGAGGGCTACTTAACTAGTCCGAGCAAAGTCATTATCTTAAAAATGTCTTTTTTTTTTCATTTTCCTCTATAACACCTTGTACCATAATAAATAAAGTATTTCAGAGTACCCAAGTTAGTTTTCCTACTTATTATGTAAACAGGTACGGTGTGCTGAAGCCGTAGTAACATAAAACAACGAAATTTACATTTTTAAACCCACATAGTGTTTCTCGAACTCATCTCAACTTATCTACGATTGGAATAGAACTTATTTGTTTTATCATGAAATATTTTGTGATAGATGCGGTTAATTATAGACATTTCTGTAGTAATAGACTAAATCATATAAAAAAGACATTAATCAAAACTGATGTGCATTTCTTACAAAATTAACTTCTTAAATTAATTATTTTGTAGGTTGATAAATTCATATTAAGGTACTACAAACGTTTTAATTACAAATCTATCCATTCGACATTATTAAACTTTCACGCCATATGTTCTACATATGTCTTATTTATTTTCTTTTGATTTGTTAACAAGAAGAAAGTAAATAGGACGGGTGCTGAATCAGCTCATATAAATTATATAAATCAAGTCATTTTTATCACTTTAATTATCATTTTTAGCTTAGCTAATACGAATAGAAATAAATTATTTAATACATAAGTTGATTATAAAATAAGTTATAATCAATTATTTCTATTTGTTATGGTGTAATTTTACGGATAGTAACAATCTGCTGACTGTTGATTTTATTTTTGACAGGTGAAAATGTAAATTAGAGGAGAAAAAATGTGTTTATAAGTATAATTTGATAAGAATAAGTAAATTTAATTCAATTTTGAAATTTCTTCTCTTGTTTCCTCTTCTCCAAACATCTTTGAGGATTTGCTTGTTAGTAAGGAAGCGGATTCTTCGCAGTAATTATTTGGAATGGAATATAACAAGCCAGTATCAAGGTATACTCTGTTGTAGTTTAGAATATTCGGTACAGCAAATAGGATATCTAGTTATCAAATACTGTCGATATTTTATGTGAAAACTATTGATAGATCTTCATCTTTAGTCTGACTAGCTCGAAAAAGGAAGGCAGGGCGCATGCGCCATCGCGCTGTAAGGAGGGGCGTCCTATCCAATATCTTATTTTCACAGAACAGTCGCTATTCACTGTTCGTACGGGAGGTTGTTGAGATAGGCCAGTCTTTCATTTACGAACTCACGATGGACAAGAGGCTATTTAACGTAGTTCATCTCGGACTGGGGTTCATGTTCGTCTTCACAGCCTTCCAGACACTAGGAAATATTGAGGTAACCTTACCTTTATGTAACATTCAACGTTTGTTTATTTACTGCCTTTCAAAACTTCTCTGATATCAAGGCAAAATATTATTTTAAATTTCAAATTAACAGTGTCTATTATAGGCAGCTCCTATAAATTAATTATTTACACAGTTGTTTGAATGATAATAAAGTTCTGGATATTGTTAATAATATTTGTATATAAGTTTTTGTTTATTTTTTTTCTATTTAAAAAAAAATACGTCACATTATTTCCTCATCATATCATCCTAAACTATTGTTTGACATTTTCAATATTTAAAAGTTATCATTTAAATGAGAAGTCAATAACGAAAGATAAATTATTGATGAAAAAAAAAAATCTAAAATTAATAACAACAGATTTAAATGGAGTAATCTACTATTTAATCTATGATTAATTACTTTTTATTATTTGATATTAATTAATTATATTGTTTATATTAATACTGAAAGTAATGTATAACTACAGTTGTTATTATCTCGTTACTTTTTCTGGTTTTCTGGAATTTGATGGTTGTCAAATGATTTTATAGAAATGACAATAGTCAGTTTATAATTGGTTACACAAAGCATTTAATACCTGTAATGCAGTAGTCAGGGATACCCATCCCTCCCAGGTGCATGGGCATGCCCCTCTTTTCAGGAAATTTTATTGCTCTTTGTTGAAAAACATTGCAAGCGGAAGTAGAATGCATTCAGATAGTTGGAATGAAATAGCCCAAGATAGGCAGATATGGAGTATGTATGTTAAGGCGGCAAAAGATCTGCTGTCTGTAATTTCATCAGGAATATATATACATATATATACTAGCTTTACCCAGCCACGTGATGCTGTGGTTCAGTCTGGCAAATCGAAAAGAAAGAAAATAGAAGTTACATATGAATGGCTTAATTTCAAAGACGGACATCTATCATATTTAAAAAGTTGAAAAAAAAAAAATTTTTTTTTTACATAACGTCTATTTAAACCAATTCTAATGATTTAAAAAAAAAAATTAAACTCGAGCATTCTTAAATAAAATCATCAGAAACAGTTTTGAGTTGAACCTACAAAACAAAAATTGACTTTTTCTTCGCCTTTTGAAAGTGACATGTTTCTTCGCCTTTGAAAGGAAGCCACTCCATATAATTTTATTAATAATTATTTGTATATTAAATATATTGTTTAAGTTCAACTTTTTGTTGATTATTTTATGGAAAATATAAATGTAAATGTTCTTTTGTTCAAAATCTTGGAAAGTTCTTCACCGATTGTTTTAAAATTTTGGGTTAACGTTACTTTTAAATACGTGCGTGGTTTTATATACCTACTATTATAATAAATGTCACGTAAAACTACACATATATTTATTAAAACAGTACCATCTACTGGTTTTAAAAACATCACATACTGTTAAAAATATTTTACAATACCATTTCAATGTTACTTAAACAGATTTACAAATATTATACGTGGCTTCACCATAGCGTTTATTTCATATGCATTAGAGCTGTCTTCCACTTCCCCAGAAAGATTTCGCATAGCCCCTCCTACTCCCTCAAACAAAATAATTTAATCAAAAATAAAATAAACTTAAATCTATGAAAAACTGATTTCTTAAAGCAATCTAGGACATAAAATGTGATAATTATTACTCAAGGGTTAACTATGTTTATATAATTGCATAGCAAATATTTGAGATGTGTTATACTATAATACTTTACAACACATTGGAGAAAATATATAAATATGGATATAAAAAGCGTATAATAGCATTGACCTACATAAAGAGAACTGTATCACTTATCCCAATGATAATCTCAATTACTTCAGGAATTATAAAACTATCGATTAATTAAAAAAATTAAAATAAAAGAAAGGAAATAGCCTTTGCCAAAGAAAAAGTACTAACTGTTTAAAATGCTATATATCTTTATCGAATCGTCCGATTTCGATGATTTCTTTTAATTTGTAGGCAATTCAGGAAGGTTTAAAATAATTATGGGTATAATCCAGTAAAAATTGGTTACGTTTCGAGTTGTTCTCAAATAAAATTCTGAATTCATCTTAACATTTATTGGAGCTTCTTTTAGAGAAAGTATTTTATATACATAAATTGAAAGAGTTTCAAGGGTAAGATTTTAGTCGTTTCATTAAAATCGCTACAGCGTTTTGGCGCTACTGTCTATGAGACATCAGTTTTTCGGCCGTCATTTCGAAACGAAAGACCGAATGGTAATGGAATCTTAATAAAAACACTTCTGAATGAGATTGCAACAAATAAAAAATTGCTAACATACTGTTGGAGAACTTTCGGAGATAAGCGTTTTTGAAAAAACGAACATATACATTTTTATTTTTTTTAAAAATATAAAAACATCCAAACCTTCGCAGGAGTGTAGGCACAGGCGGATCTATGGGGAGGGGAGGAAGCTTTCGGGCTGATGCCCCCCCCCAAAAAATGGTAAAATATAACCATGTTTTACAGAAAAAAATATCTCTACTATCTCTTAAAGTATTGTGGTTCGTGTAATTACATTTAATAGGACTTCAGGAACCATTTAAACACCATTTCATATAGGTAGTTAATTTCTTTCTTTTTTATCAAATTATCAAATTAATTATCGTTATATGTATATGAAAAAAAAATCTTTGGGGCTGAAGCCCCCCTCAAAATTACATTCTGGATCCGCTAGTGAGTGTAGGCAACAACTTTCCAAAGTTTCATGGAGACCCGATAAATGGTGTATTAATGCATAAAGGATAAACATGCATACATTCGTTTATCTATATATTATTTTTTGGGAGGATTTAGGCCAACTGTGGACCACCTAAATAGTCTTTTTTGTCATTCATTTCTTCTCTCCTTCTCCACACTCCTCTTTTTCACTGCAAGAAAGCTCATTTGGTTAATCCGTTTCCGGAATTCGACTCAATCGAAACAATTGTCAAGCTCAGTTTTACCATTTTATTCTAAATGTGTTCCGAAAAACCATTTATATTCTTGAGCCCTATCATTTTATCTAACTTTTTATTAATATATTTTTGTCAATCTTGACTGTATGTCCGTAAAATTTAATTCTTCTGCTTCTCATCATTGTTTCTATGTTCTTTTGTATAATTCGCGATAACTCCTCATTCAGTACTTTTTCTTGTTACTTCGCCTTTGTTTAGGCTATACGGAAATACAAGTTTTGAGGTCCTCTGAGTCCAAATAACCAAGTCTCGCAAAATGGCGTGTGTGTGTTTTAACAGTCTAGCTCAAAAATGAAAAGTAGTACGAAAATCTAAAAAAACTACGAAAAGTATCACGTATTTAAAGTTTGTATATAGTTCAGATGTGACAGCAACTTTTTCGTTAAAATCGGTTAACCGGAAGTGCCACTTTATATCAACGGTGAAACACATTTTTACAATTTGCTCAAAAACGGCTTTAACGATTTGATTAAACTGGGTATATCATTGTCTAATTAAGTGGTCTTTAATATCATTTAGTTCCTATCCCCATTGATGTCACTTTACAAGGCTAAAATGTCCAATGATTATATACGTCCTCCTCTAAAGTACATTTAATATGGTTCATTTCAAATATTTAACTACCTATCATTATTAAAAGTTACGAAAAAATGCTAAATATAACTTTTGAAAGAATTTGATAATTGAATAAATGAGAAAATAATAAAAATGCTTATCCAGGTCGAAAATGAATCTCCGGAAGCACCATTCAGAAGGTGTATTTATAATATATCGTTGGAAAGCGGAGAATTAAAAAAAACAATCTCTAAAATAGGAAATTGTAGAAGGTAAAGGAGAGTGGCGAAAACATTATAAATAATTATGTCAGAAAACAAAATGTGATGGTTTACATCTTTGAATCTATGGGGTTTTCCTCTTAGAGAACTCATTTCCAAGTTACAGAGCCATTTATAGTAAATTGTCTCAGTTTTTGACTGATTTCATTTCAAATAATTGACTATCTCTCATTATTAAAAGTTACGAAAAAATGTTAATTATAACTTTTGAAAGAATTTGATAATTGAATAAAGGAGACAAAAATAAAAATGCTTATCAAGGTCGAAAATAAATCTCTGGAAATACTAGTCAGAAGGTATACGTTATACGTATAATATATCTTTGGATATCTTTTGATCTATCTACGGCAGGCAATGAAAATCTCGTAATTTCATTTTAGTAAACTTCAGCCTATATTCATAAAAGAATCCATAAAAGAATTACATCGTAACGAATGTTACCGGGTTTTCTTACAACTTCTTTTCTTAATATAAGAATGACCGGACTATGTTTTAAATATTAAAAAATTCTAAATAAGAATAAATGTTATAATTAAAGACAACATTATTGGGTAAAATAGATTAAGATTAGAAAGATTTAAATAAAAAATGACTTAATACATGTTTAAATAAATAGATTTATAATAATTACAAAATATTGAAATAAAAGCTCAAGCATACATCTATATATATTTTTTTTAAATCGACATTCTACGTTGAAGGAGTATCATTAATTTAAAATTTTAATGTGTCCAATGATGTTTTCACCTGATTATTCTGAGAAAATTACATATATTTTAGCTCTGTTGAGAATTGTTGTTTTATTTATTTTTTTTTTTTAATTTGTATTATTATTTATTTGTATTTTTTCTTTTTTTAATTATTTTACTTTGTTATTTATATATTTTTTTCAATATTGATTATATTTACAGATAATGAGGTCAGAGGACAAGGGCGATTGAAAAGTTATAAAATTCATTTATAGGTTGAATATAGAGGTATACTGTCAAATTTCTCTCTCTCTATATATATAACCAGATACTGAAGTTATGTGATTTTCAAAAACAGATGGAGTAATGAGGTTTTTATTGTCTACCGTTGATATAATTAATATGGTTTTTGTTATTTTAGTGGTCTTAATGATTTATTATCTGTAAGCTTTAAGCTATAGCACCGTCAAAAGTGCACTTCAAAAATTTTATATAGGTTATCGCCAGAAAATAATTTCTATTCAGAGTAGAGAGGTAAGTGAAAGTTGTGTGCTGTGTGCACCAGATTTTTTTTTAATCTCATAACTCCGGTTATCTGGTTGGTGCTGTGCACACGCGTTAGCCCATTCGGACACCTCGTCCCTAAAAAGAACATAGTGGAACCGGTACTGAACCGGGAACCTTACCATATCAAGTTGGCATGCTAGCCACTGCACTATGAGTGCAGTTCTCTCATTCAGCGCCTCCACCACGATTTTCTTTGGGCCATACATAGTTCGCAGAATTATCTTTTGAACAATAACGAAGAGTATGATTCGCTAACTCTCCCCTCTCCATGAAATTCTGAATCCAAAGATATTCCGTTCATGGCATTTGAGCTTGACAGGAGCTTATATTTGGTACAAAACCGATTTGGAACCTTAGTGAATATATGTAGACGTATTTGTAAGAAGTTCATGTGGCTATTTTCAGCAAGAATATAGGGAATCCAACTTTATTGGCATTGAAGGTAAAAAATTAATAAATTTAGTCTTTTAGGCTTCCTGGTTCCCTTCTGGAGTTCTGGGCTACGAAGCAGTACTCCAGCTGCCCCCTTCTCGTCCGGCTTGTTGATAATGAAAAGGAATTACTTAACTATTTCGAAAGCAAGGAGATATGTTTTCTCCAGTATTGTGACGTGTCGTTTATAAAGATCTTAATATAAATAATATAACAATATAATATAATATAATAACATCTTGATATGAATAACACTATTGATAATATTGGGGGATATTTTATGTTATCACCCCTGAATTGTACCGTCCAGGATGACTGCCACAGCCCGAATTGGGCAGCGGCCCTGCTTAGGAGACTTGTTCTCAGGACTACGATCGTTTTTCTATTCAATAGAATTTCAATTCAAAATTGTTCCGACGTGAAGAGGGGGTGACAAAAACTCTTGCGCATGAACGGAATTAGCTTATTTTATTATCCGTGCATATGACCTATGACTTTTTCATCTATGTTTGTAGTGGTATCTAGGATCTTAAATCTTGGGATCAATATATTCATTATTAAAACATACATTCCTTTATTACACGCATTAGTTTTTGTAATTACAAGGTCTCTTTAAAAAGGTTGTCACGTCTTTCTTGTGTTACCATTTCATTTTTTCATGGAGAAAAAAATAGTTATTTAATTATTGCATATCTTAATAAACTCCTATATAACTACTCATTTCACTTTCCCTAAAATTAATTAATTAAAAAGTCTATTCAGTGATCAACTAAATGAAACAAGTTAGTGATATCATGAACTTACATTTTATTTACAAATACAAATCATTGAAGAGGTAAAAAACCTTATCTACTGTATACGAACTCTTGAATCACCTCTTGCAGTTACAATTCATAGCACTTTTGTTGAGATTGAAGTGAGGTATATGACAGACAAGATAAGAAAGGCAGACTGGGTTTGGTGTTGACCCTAATTCATATCATTGGCTCCTTTCGCTCTTTCTGGCTGCTTCTGTGTGTAGGTCAGTGCTCTGGCCGAAAGTAGTCCCTCATAGCCAGCGTGAGCATATGTTTTATTTATCGGTATCAATATAGGCCTCATTTGCTTATTTTTTGTCATTGCACGAAAAAAAAAACGTCGGCCAAGTAAAGTCAGTATAATTTTCCAGCTTCCTCACCAAATTCACCGACATTTTCCATCAGTTGGAACAACAGTAATTCAAGAAAAAATATGAGAATATGAATGAAGTTAATAAAATACAGGAAATGAAGGCGTATACATATTTAAAACTTATCATCGATGCTTACATGCTACCCTTCAATTATAACTTGCGCAAAAGACTTGGAATAAAGCCCCTTAACACTTTAAAGTTTGAGGGGGAAATGAAGACCACAACCAGTTGGTTGAACTTTAAAAGGAACAAACAAACTCACAAATATGGCGGGTTTTTTTACAGTATGTGCAAAATTTAATTTAAATTTACAAATATACCGTACATATAGGAAAATCGCATGCCTTAGCGAAAGCTGGTGAAGGGATTCGACAAAATATTTATTGGGCCAACTAATTTTCAAACCCCACAATCACTGAAAATTATATGAAATTTTTTGTAACGGCAGTATGTGTCCTGCCAGTAATATGAACGGCCTAAAAAAACGACAAAACATCCAGTTTAAATTAACTTTTTTGAATAGTCTAAACTTCTATAACCTCATATAACGATACTATGAACATACAAACCCTTTCACATGATCAAAGCCTTCCAGATTTCTCAGCCATTATATTTTTAAAAGTTATTTATTTTTATTTTAATTGTAGAATAGAATTCAATGAAATTGCTACTAGGGAATTTCTATAATATTCTCCGCATTTCTTTCAACTTTCGTTATAATCAAACGAGCCGTTTTCGAAATATAGGCGTGTTAAAAACATCAGGTTTTCAGATTCGAAATCGGAAATATTTTCTGAAAGTAGGGGATCTAATTTTCTGAAATGGATATCTACTTGATCATTTGTTCATCAATCCGTAACTTCCATCCAAATTTAAGCCAAATCGAAGATGCGGTTTGTAGGATATAGACGCATCACGAAAAATACGTTTAGGCATATTTAAGAGAAAGCAGTTGACGGAAAGCAATGAAATTAATACAGCATTATTTTTTTACCAACACCTATCTTTCTTTCAACTTTGAGTCCAATTGAACGAGCCGTTTCTGAAATATTGGCCTAGCTAAGGAAACACATTTGCGCGTGCGCAAGCGGAAGTGTTGGATGGAATTTGATGAAATTGATATGGAGCAATTTAGACACCAACCCACATCTTTCCTGAAAATTTCATGAAAATCGGATAAACTTTAGTAGGTGATATATCCGTTACATCGATTTGACTACAGAAAGACGCCAATTGAAATTTGATCCATGATGTCTGATACGTAAGACGCTAGTGGAATTTTTCGATTCTGAGCTCATAATTTTTGTTTACCTCCCAAAGCTTAAAATAAGTACACAGCTTCCCTACGTTCGGTAGTGAGGAAGCAAAAAGTTCCCGATTAATATTAAGTATTTGAACCATAAAATCTCCTTATATTATCAGCAGCGCTGTAACGAACGGTGGTTTCGTTTTTCATATGCCCATCAAGGTACATTTATTCCTCTACCAACCTTAAGTACTGTCTATAAACTACGGGGAGATTTCTTTATTCTGCGGTTATTCAATATTGACTTATGAGAATAATGCGGGACATAAAACATTTTTTTTTTCACTTTTAATTAGAAATCCGCGACATCCGATTAGAAAATTAACAAATACATAGTTAGTTATCTTGTATAATAATTAGCCTAAAAAGAGGGACCTAAAAAATAGGCATGAGGAAAAGCCTATCCATCACTGTGGAAAATTACACTCCACACTGTGACAGTTCTTAAATATTCTTGTCTGCTAATAAATTCCCATATATACAGAAATTCGAAGAAGAAATTGTTCTTTACATTTGCGATTATATATATTTTTGAACCATATTTTTCTTGCTGTACGATCAGTTAGAATAGATTGACAGGCATTTATGAGAATCTCAATAATGAATCTCACTTCTGATTTCTAACAAACTGTTGAAAAATAGGGTATTCTTGACTTCTTGTCTCATCTACCGTCGGCATAACATATACGGTTTGTTTTATTTCTTTATGGTCGTATTTTTTTTTGCATTGATAAATATGACAGCAATTCACATTTAAGGTTTATCAAATCAATTCAAAAACGTTTTTTCTAATAATCCAATTTAGTTGGAAAATAATTTCTGCTCAAAATAAAGTAGTATGTGAAAGTTTGATGTGAAGTGTGATGCGTGCATCAGATTTTTTAAATTCAAGTACATCTTAATTTTTACAGTTTGAAATCGGTTCTCAAATCTCAAATTTTATAACTGTTCTTTCGCCCTTGTCCTCTAACCTAATTATCTGGAAATGTAGTCAATATTGAAAAAATATATAAATAACAAAGTAAAATAAAAGAATAATATAAAATAAACTGTAATTCTCCACAGAGCTAAAATATATGCAATTTTCAGGGAACAATCAGGTGAAAACATCACTAAATACATTATTAAAACAATGGTACGTCCTCAACGAAGAATGTCAATTTAAAAAAACAAAAAATTATGCTTGGACTTTTATTTCAATATTTTGTAATTATCTATGTATTTAAACATGTATTAAGTCATTTTTGATTTAAATCTTTCTAATCTTAATAAAATTTACCCAATAATGTTGTCTTTAATTATAACATCTATTCTTAAATAGAATTTTTTAATATTTATAAAATAGTCGGTCCATTCTTATATTAAGAAAAGAAGTTGTAAGAAAAGCCGGTAACATTCGTTAGGACATGTTTCTCCGAACTTTGGGGACAAACCAATTTTCCTACTTAACAATCAAATTATTTGAGACAACTAAAATAGTCGCCTCGGTCGTATCTTTAACTCGAAATACCTCCATATAACAGTAAATTATTCCCGATGGTTAAAAATTAATCGATACAGATTATGTCATATCATATCAAAGCATGAAGAACTTGACATTCTCACCTCCCTGGGTCAATAAAATTCATTACGATTTTTTATATTCGCATTGAGATAATTCTTCTTGTGCTTGAAGTAGATTTATTTTAATGTCACCATTCCATTCTTTAGAAACAGTACAAAAAATTAATATCATTACTGCTTTTTTCCAACCTGAAAAGACATGTGAAAAACGAATGTAAAGTAAGTAAAGCCCGGGACCATCGAATGATCAAAAGTTATTTCCGAACGACCAATGGGGTGGCATAACACCTACTACCGAAGAGTGAAAATATTTTCCCTGTGAAATTCCGGTGAATCCCACATTGTCCCGGTGAAAATATTTTCTAATGATCAATTATAATTATCCTAATGAAATAAGATCTAAAAATTAATGATTGAACCGATATTTGATTCATATGTATGAAGCAAAATTTCGGACTATAAGAAACAATTTTTTGTTTTCTCCGATTTCTATTTCAGATGTCAAGGGACTAACTAATTTAGTTCCGCCTCGGCCTGTCTTCAGTGAAATTAATGTGACGGTTATAACACCTACTACCATTAATTTAAACGCAATTTTCAGACAATGTGTGTGATGTTATCTACATGCTCTTTTTTCAATTTTATCAAATTTCATCAATTACTTCCGGTAACGCGTGCAGAAACATATTTTCCTCGAAATCGAGGAAGGCCCACAACTGTTAGGGTTTAAATTCCATTTATATTTATAATTATAAACATGATTATGATCCTTTTTCAAAGTACTGTATTTTATAAAATTTATAATTTATTAAATTTTTCATATATCTATTTTAGGCTAAAGGTCACCAAATATACAGTTTTTTTATCTCCTGTATGCTTTATTCAACGTTTCGGCTTCAGGAGCCATTTTCAAGATCAATTCACCGCGCCATAAAATATTTAAAATCTATCATTGCGATATGATTCGTCCTTAAGTCATTCTTTTATTTCAAAGAATGTCGTTTTCCATTTCTCTATTTGCAGACAATATCAAGAAATTGTTGTTCATCACTAGGGCATTCATAGAGGACTGGT